TGTACTTGGTACTTGGTACTTGGTGCAACGGGCTGGTCTCCGCAACTCGACGACAAAGCGCCTATTTGTACATACATCATGTGTATTCCCCTTAACTAATATTAAAAGATATGTTGTCGTTGGACAATTTTAAATGAGTTATTTTTATTTTAGGAAATTATGTTAAATTAAAATTGCTTCTTGGTTTTGTAAAAAGGCTAAATTGTTGTTGGTTATAAGGTTTTGTTTTTCTTTATAACAAAATAAGTAAATAAACAATTTTGACGTTTTTTCCGAGAAAAATCCATACCAATAATATATACGACTCACTTTCGCTCAAAGTAGCGCTTTATGAGTTTTACCTTTCGATTTACGACGTACCCGATTAATTTAAATCTCGGAACATTTATAAACAGACAAAAGAATTGAAAACCGCCCTCCATTTTGTTGAGTAAGTTGAAAAATACTTACGTGCTGAACTTTGTAACAATTTAATACCCCCCTATCACATTTAAAGCCTCAATTAAAGTTTCACCTACACCAAATGACGGCTAGATCGTCAGGCTCGAATCGTGCGTCGATTGCACCAGCTCGTGGGAACGGCGCCTGCGCAGACGACGCTTTCGAAACTAAGCGCCACTGTAATAGAAGCTAACGGCTTTCCTTGTTTGCTTTTAACACCTCTTAATTGTTTTTGTTCCAGTATATGTAAAAAACATTTTCCCTCTCCCTTGTAAGTATCTACTAGTGGAATCAGGAATAAAAATATTAAGATTTAATTACATTATGCGATAGAGAAAACATGTGTTTTATACCGAGAGGATTTTTTATGATTATCAAGTGAAGCGCCTTGTAGTAAGCAGCGAACGCCTATAACAGTTGCAGTGCACTTGGAGCTTTAAATCGCAAAGATATGAGGGGCCTTGCCACTGCACCTATCATCCTGAGACAAAAGAAGCTCCATTGCTACAGATTTCTTTAATTTGACATCTCTTAGATTACCTAGTGAAAATAATGAAAACATACTAGTTTTTTAAACCAATTTAAAAAAGGAGGAGGTTCTCAATTCGACTGTGTGTTTTATTTGTATGTATGTTACGCGATAACTCTAAATTTGTGAACTGATTTTGTTGATTCTTTTTTGTTGGTACCTATGTAGCGGTCCCATTTAAATTTCAAGAAAATATTCCACCTCTAAGGGTGGTAAACTAAGGGATGAACGACTTTTGAGGTCCGTTTTTTAGTACTCTGTACTGAGATTATATTATTAAAAACATCTAATGCCATGAAATAAAATTGCCTACATCACCTAAATAATGAGAAGAATAAACTGTGTGGGTTACGAAATTTCGCACTCTTGTTGTAATGAGGATAGGTATAGATTTGGAAAAACCAAAAACTTTTTTGAAGTCGGTAAAAAAAACCGACTTATGTATGTACGTTACGCGATAACTCCGGTCTTTGTGAACCGATTTTCATGATTTTTTTTTTGTTGGAAAGGGGGACTTCCGTAGTAGTCCCATTTCATTTTGAAGAAAATCACTACCTCTAAGAGTGGCTGTTCACGCATGAAGATTCATTTTTATAAATAGCGCCTAAATATTACTTAAGGAGCAATTTTTTTAATGGTTGATTTCGCTATTTCTCCAATTGAAGGCGTTTTTCTCTCAATGTACTTTGAGTAGTGAGGACCGATTTTTGTTATCTCCAGGGTCAAGTCCTGTATAGTGGCGAACTAGGAGATATTTCAATAAAACTTAGCAAATAGACGTAATTCCACATACTTTTGAGGACGGTTTTTTAGTACTCTATATTGAGATTATTACTCATATTTAAACTGGGTAGACAGAGTTATCATTGTAAAGAACTTTGAATTTTAGGATTTTTTTGTTATTGTATTATAAATTAATTTATCATTTTACTATTATATACAAGGACCATATTTCACACCCTTCGTATAATAAGGCCACATCTGCAAAAAATTGATCTTTTCTAATGAAAGGCTTAAAGATTCTATGAACGAAATTAGTCAGTAGCTTTAAATGATTAAATAGGAGAGTTGTGAATTATTAATTTAATATATGCATAATAAGTGTTTCATGTGATAAAAGCACTTTTGAAATTTAACCGTGCGGCTTTATTAAAATAGGACGTTATTATACAACTTCTGCCTACTTGGATGACAAAAATCAGTCGTGGTCACCCGTTTAGCTCATGGAGCTACCTCCATGACGAGACTGCTCTCGATCACTGATATTTGAAATCAAAACAGAAAATATATTGTAAATGTTGAATGCGTACAAATGTTATTTACAAAGAGCATTCTTCTCAGGGGAATCTGCCTTACGAATGAGCGGTACAGTTTAACCAATGTGACGATTTCAAGTGTAATAATGCTTATCTATGAAATAAAGATTATTTTGATTTTGATTTTGATTTTGACGTAGTTAAGCAAAAAGAATCCAATCTATAAAATTATTCTAAAACTAGTTATATGTATATACGGTTCCTAAAGTCTAACCTCTTAGACCAGCAAAAAAAATCCAACACATAAACATAAATAAATATCTCTGGAGTTACATGACATTGTAAGTTTTGAAAATAAAACAAGAGTGAGAAACACTTTTAAACTTGAAACTGCCATATCTCGAAAATGACTGGGTGTGCATTGGATCCTTTTTGTTTAACTACGACCAATAAGGGTACGATTTAATAATAAATTGTGTATAAAAATACCAAAACCGATACAGCGCAAAGATGCTTCATCGCGCTCTCTAAGTGTATGACCCCGACATTTTGCCATATCAATCAAACCCATTGTTCGAGGTTTCATATTAGTAGCAGACAGATTGATATCGGTAATTTACATAACACTTTAGCTATTATGAGGAGGGTTTAGTAGCAGTAGAGCTTGTTGTGAAAGATTTCGTCCAGGCAAATACAGCCACCTTACCTATTTCAGCTGTCAAGCAGTAAGCGAGCATTACTGTGTTCCGGTTTGAAAGGGTAAGGGTGCTTGTCAACTTATGTGTAAGGCGATGGGCGCAGTGGTAGCGCCTCTAAGTTCGTTGCGATTTAAAGCTCTGAATGGCACTTCAACTGTTATGGATAGGCGCTTGCCACCAGGCGCAGGACTTGCGCGTCTCATCACTTGGTGTTATAATAAAAAACAGTCGTGCAAACGTTATCCATACATACATTATAAAGTAATAGTAATGCATATTTTTTATAATAGCAAGTGACGGAACGAAAAAATCGTGTACTGGTAACTTGGTAAGTCACGCACCTACAGATAACAGTAGTTAACCACTCAGAGGTTTAAATCGCAACGACCTGAAAGGCAACCTTACCCTTCAAAACTGGAACGTAGTTGTTACATTACTGCTTTGCGGCAGTAATAGATTTGGTTGCAGTATTTCGTTGAACGAACACTTTTTGCAAGGAGCTCTACTGCTACTAAAGTCGTGTCTACTGGATAACTCTCAAGGCGTAGTTTATCAGTAGTGCTTTAAATCGTGTGGTTTGAAACCTACACAACCTCAAAATCAGCCATTTTTATCATACCAAAAAGCCTTACCTAACCCAAATCAATATTTTTTTTTATTACAGAATATTTTCTACAGAATTTAGAAAAATCGTAAACCTGGGCAAATATTTTATTCCTTATATTAAAATATAAATACGAAATGCGTAACACGTTACGTAGTCTGGCAGAACATAGGTACTACATACTTTTATGTAGTTTATGACTATAATGTCAATATTATGATACGCGTAATTATAATTTCAATACAGAGTATTAATAAAACAGACCTCAAAAGTCGTTCATCCCGTAGTTTGCCACCATTATACATGGAATATTCTCTTCAAATTATATAAATGGGTCTACTACTGAGGTACCTTCTGTCCAACAAAAAAAGAATCATCAAAATCGGTTCACAAATGTCGTAGTTATCACGTAACATACATACAAAAAAGAATAAAACATACAATCGGATTGAGAACCTCCTTTTTTGAAGTCGGATAAAAAAGAAACTATTCACGTAATAAAATAATTAATAACATAAATTATTTCATTAAATTTAAAAAAACAGACAATAATTATTATTTCAAGGGAACACTAACCTTAAGTGAATGACTTTTATATCTCATAGTATTAATAAAAACCATCACGTATAATGACGTTTTTTGCAAGACATTTCGTAACTATATATAATAGATTAATATAACAATGAGCAAATTATGCCCTCGACTACAATTTATAATCTCACCGTCGTCGCGTTGCTTAATGCTATAAGGCGTTGATAATTTTACAAACTGTTAATAATTTATCAAAGTTCTATCAATTTACTTTATTGTTATTAGTTATCAGGAATTATATATCATTAACTAAATATAATGTGACGAATTTCACTGCCTACTCACGTTTTATGGCGTTTTCGAACAAAACAGAATTGTTCAAGTAGAATTATCTAGAATTATAATAATAACGCACACACTCATAGTTCCGCACTAGAGGCAAACCCTGTATCGCGGGTGCCATGGACACACACATAGACAATGACAAATTACACCCAAACTCACGAGTTTCACGAGATTATCTATTCACATTTTGCAGGGTTCCATTCTGTTATTTGAATCTTTTACTTCGTCTGTCCTTTGGTCATTTTGTTTGTTGTTTTTAGCTGGAGATATAAAACAATAAGAATGTATTTTATAGACCTCTAGGCGCTGGATGCAAAAGGTCGCGTGTTCGATTCCCAGTAGGAACAATTTGGGAAATACGTTTTCTAAATTGGTTCTGAACTGCGTGTTCTGGGAAGTGTTCCAGAGCGAATTCCGTTGCTCTGGTACTCATAGAACAGGGAATTCCCTAGTTTGAAACCAGGCAACTGGTGTGGTTGTGTGACACATAATATTTACAAAAAGAATATTTTTAGTAAGTAATTATTTCTTTACCCAGCAGTGGGTGTTAACAGGTTGAGATGAATGAATGAATTAATTATTCTTTTTATTTTCAGGTACATAGCAAGGGTTTGAAGTTTGGCATTTACGAAGACTACGGTAACTTCACTTGTGCCGGATACCCCGGTGTTGTCGGCCATCTTGCTGGAGGTAAGTTCACATTAAATGTAACTAGAAAACTTATCATAATCATCAGTCTATAGCATAGCTTTCCAAACTTTTTGGCAAGGTAAAAAGATTTCAACGCTCACCACCATAAAACATAATTGAAAACACGTATTTTTTACATTAACTTAACACAAAAATCACAAGGAATAAAATTGTAAATTCCTTCGATCTGACAGGCATCTAACCTATGTCTGTAATGCCAATCTAGGGAAAACGCTCTACCAACTGAGCTACAGATGGATTCAGCAAGTTTTACAAATTTATTTATGCGTTTGTTGCAGATCTTTGTTTTTGGTTTTCACAGCTTTTTTTAACATTTATTACAATAATGTTCTCTATTTATAATAGCGGTGTTTTTTTTTATAATAAAAGTCCAAATGAAGGGACGAACAAGTCGTGCACTTGGTGGTAAGCGACACGCCTGTCCACAATAGTTGCAGTGCCACTCAGAGCTTTAAATAGCAAAGATTTGAGACACACTGCCACTGAGCCCTTCACCCTGAGACATAAGTTGACAAGTCCCACGTGCCTGTAATTTCACCAGCACCCTTACCCTTCAAAACCGGAACACAGTATTGCTCACGTTACTGCTTGGCGGCAGAAATAGGTAAGGCGACGGTACTTCCCTTGACGAACTCTTTCACAAGGATCTGTACTGCTGCTACGGTTGTTTTCTAATGTTTAGAAGATGTACCTCTCACTAACGGTGAAGAAAAATGTCGTGATAACACCTGCATGTAGAAGAAGGGCCACAAACCTTAGAAAAGTGGGACCTAAAAGTGGGTTGATGATCATTGCATACCATTTGTTCCACGTTCAATTACACTTATATACAATTGCCATGTATGTGTTATAAAACGAAACGTTTTAAATCAGTTTCTCTAATTTACTTACGTACTTTTTCATTTGAAGAAATAAATCGACGCTACACGTGCGTGTGTTTCGGTGATTCAATATCACAACTTGTAAATTACACTGTTATATCACGCGTGTGGTGTCATTGCACGTAATGTTGTGCATTTGCAATTTGGGAAGAAACTATGAATGAAACTATTTTTGTCCGGTCACGTTGAAATAAAAGAGAGTTTTTTTTATGCGCAGACATTTTGCGAGCCTTGCTCTGGCTTGTGGTTGATATCCATTGTCATCCGGAGAGGCAATGGTGTCAGTATATTAGGAACTTTTGAGCCAGGCACATAACAGGGCCGGATTTTGTTTAATTTTTTGAAATTTTTGATAGTCGTGGTAGCACACTACACGACAGGTGCGGTGGCCGCGCGATGAAATTCGTGTCGTGTGCACACAGGGTAACGGTTTGACTTACCGTCTTCAAAACGGAGGGTCGTAGGCTCGAATCCGGGCTTGCACCTGAGTTATTCGGAATTTGTGTACGAAATTTAATTTGAAATTTACCGGGAGCTTTTCAGTGAAGTCGGAAAATATCTTGAGTAAACCTATACACATCTGCATTCAATTTAATTATGTTTGTGAAGTTCGCAATCCGCATTGGGCCTTCGTGGAAACAGTAGACTAAGCCAGCGGGCACTGAGCGCAGTGTGATAGGAGGCCTGTGCCCAACACTGGGACTGTATAGTCTGTATATAGTCAGTATATAGGCTATTATAAATTTTTGATGAAATCTGTTGTTAGTCTCAATTTTTGTATTTTAGTACCTATTGACAAAGCCTAGGCTAGCTGATCCTGATAGAATCCAAAGATTCTAAATTTATTATCTTTTTTTAATATGTTTTTATTTAATAAAATATCAGTGTGTTTTTTAACTGGTACAATATGGCGAAATCCGAAACTATAGGATATACAGGAAAACTGTCTTAGGAACCACTAAGTTCTTTTTATGAAAACATTTTTAGTATAGCCAATTTCTTAATCAAGCGCGAATTGTCCATAAAAATAATATAAATTATTATTATATGTTGTCCATTAAAAAAAAAATAATAAAAAAATTAATAAAAGACATACTAAAAAAATAATAATATTTTGTTAGTGCTGATCGACTCGATTTCCTGTAAGGATCATTTTATTTGTATGGGACTAAAAAAGTCGGGATAGCAGAAGTTGGTTAAATTTAATGTTTTTATAAATAAATGTTTTTTCATACAAAATGGATAGATATTACAAATACTAAATTATAAATATTAAAAATACATACAAAGATGAATGAATATCATTACGCAGACAAGTGTTAATGGGCAATTTCACACGTTTGCTAATTTCGTATTCTAACCAATAAAGTTATCTCTAACATTAAATCAGTAGACAAGCAATCAATCTCCCGTACTATAATAATAATAGTTATAGTAGTACAGATACAAGCTTTCGTAATTATGTCCTAACACGGCCTACATATCGAAATTGGTACTCTGAAAGCGAAATATTAACGCTTAAGTTACTCGATCGAATCGACAATGACTATTATAGAGCATAAACTGACATTTAGAATTCTTTGTGTATTTCGAAAAGTACTTTAACATGTACACTGCCATCGTATCAGTGACACAACCAGCTACGTGCGTGTTTTAATATTATGTTATGTTAGTTTAAAATTTTTGAATAGTGGATACCTGGACAAATATCTTATACAGTCGCCGGTAATGATACAAAAAACTTTCATTTATATGAAAGTTTTTTTTTGTAAACTAATCAGTAAAATCATGAAATATTTTGCATAATTTGTATAGTCTTCGTTACATGACTGTCTGCGTTTAGTTTCCTAATTAGAGTCCATTTTTTTTTGGATATTATTAATTATAAATAATGAGTCCATCATCATCAACCCACTATACGTCCTACTGCTGAGCAGAGGTCTCATATTTGACACGTTTTCCAAGGCTTGTCTTCTACATGCAGGTTTCATCACGATATTTTGCTTGCTATTAGTTGAGATATATTGCTAATAAAGTTTCACAATGTTATAGTTCTTTTTTTTTTTTTAGTTAATGTAATAGTTCTATAAAATGTGAAAATAAATTTAAGTCTACATTTGTGGTGGAATACATTCGGCTGTGAACATGTTAAACACTAAAGAAAGAGGTTCTCATTGAACTTCATGGCAGCAATACGAACGAGGTCGCACGTGTTTCTGTGCTTCAAAATCACCAGTTGTAACTTGACGTATCCTATTATGTAATGCTTGCGGTGTTATTGTGCACGTGATTTGAGAGTAAAAATCTTTTAGGGAGTCTTTTATTCTACTGAACTTGACCTTTAAACATTATTAGACAGTTTTATTAGATCTTATAATTAGGTATGCTAAAAGCCCCCTTTTGCACAGTCAGACTCAATCGCGCACCATTGCTGCTTCACACGCGATAAAGTGTAATAATAATAATAATCCATTTATTTGTGAAAACACAGGTTATATAGAAGCTGACATGTACAAAATACGTATAGTTTCACTGTGTCCGGCTAAACAGTAGGCATACAAATATTGAAGGTATACATTCACTCACATGCACTTCGACTGACTAAACCAGGTGTAACATGTTTCGTTTTTCAATAATATTACATGAGCGTGCACACATGGATTTAATAAGTCGGTCAGAATTTAAACGCGATGAGTTATATGGGTCGATTTTAATGGTAATTAGATGTCAAAATAATATCGTAACGTGGATAATGCCAATAATGTCTAATGTCAAAAATTAGACAATGAATTTAGGTACATTTTATTAGTCAATAACTTGTTTAATTGCTTTTTAAATAATATATGTTAAGTATCTGTGTAAAGTCCGCTATTGTGCAGAATATTTGACTCAAATTTTTAAATGCACCAATCTACTCCCAATAAAATGTTGAATATGAATCTGAAGTTCGTTTTTCGACATTTCAATTAACACTAAATATATTGATGATGAAAGTCCGTGTTGGAGAATTCTCCGCCCCTTTTAAGAAAACAATAATAACATCTTAAAACACGATTTTTATTTCTGGGTAATCAATGTCACTTTCTAATTGGTTTTAGCTTAGAAACATGAAAAACTTTTTTTTATAACAAGTGACGGGACGAACAAGTCGTACGCCTGGTGGTAAGAGACACGCCACAACAGTTGCAGTGCCATTCAGAGCTTTTAATCGCAATACATGAGCATTGCTATCTAAAGCGATCACAGAATACCAAACCAGAATAAATTTAGAAAAACTGCCTCAGTGACCGAATGGTTACCATGCCGGACTGCCACGCAGAGGTCCCAGATTCGATTCCCGGGCCGGGAGAAATATTTGTATGGCCGACATTTATTTCTCTCGTGAGTTTGGGTGTAATATGTGGTTGTCTATCTATGTGTGTGTCCATGGCATCCGCGACACAAGGTTTCCCTAGTGCGGGGCTATATTGAGCGTGTGCGTTATTATATTATTATTTCCGAAATTGGTGCTACCGGGAATCAAAGCCTCGACGTCCTCATCCAGCGCCCACAGTACAAACCCAATTTCAATTCTCTTATATATTTATCTATATATTTTTGGTATTCATTCAATTCATGTTGACGAAAATCATTTAGTTTTCGGCAGCAGCCCGGTGGATCAAAATTTGCTTCAAATTGAGAGGTCTACATTTTACCCGTACTGGCCGTGTGCTTATAACTTTACTCTCTAAGTTAAGTTTAGTAGCGGAGATATCGCTACTAAACCTTGTGCTAACAGTGAAGAAAAACATCATAATGAAACCTGAAACAATTAGAATCCATGAAAAATGAGTCAAGTTCTTAAGCACGCTTCGAGCTGGCGTGGCACACAATGGCCTAAACTCTCTCCTAATAGGAGATCCACGTCCAGAAGTGAGACGTATAATGGGATAATGAGGAAGATGATGAAAAATAAAGCACTGTCGAGGTAAATAATAATTTATAGCTCGTCTATTTCAAGAACTATCTAAATACTTGTTTCACCGTTATTTATTTTGTTTATTTATTTATTTTATAATTGCACCCCTCATGGAAGAATGGCATAAGTGGAGTTACGTCAAAAACGTTTATTGCTGAATTAGATACAGAATCAGTACAGAGTACTAAAAAACCGACCTCAAATTCATTCATCCCCTAGTTGTTAATAGTTGCATTTCCATTGTTATCTCGTATATCGACCCCTCCTACGTAAAGTATCGTATGTCGAAATTGCCAAGTTTACAGGGGAGCTTTTAAAGTTTTGAATTCACTGAAATGAACATAACACGTGACTTTAGCAATACTCAGTTTTATTCTCTTGGCAGAGAGGTTAACTTACTTACCATGGATCGTGTACTTAATGTGTTTAGTAGCCAACTTACTTACTTTGGATCGTGTATTTAATGTCACAGCCACTAAGTTGGTAACACCACGATGATGGCAGCTATCCGCATACTACAGAAGGCCTAAAGTTAGCTGTAGTAGCGACTACAATTGCACAACAAACGCGTGCGAATTACAAAAACCATGTCGACATTTCCTTTTAACGTTACTAAGTTACCTTTGCAGTCGTTACAATTTAAAAGTAACTAATAATGTAGTTGCATTTGATTTTTTCACTTGCGCGTGTAAGTTGATGTTTTAAACATGTGATGAACCTCGGCGATGGTGCCGTTTGACAAACGCAACTTCCTCTGCTTGAATTGAAATTCAATTTAGTCGTGTTTTGTTACTAAACGTGGTGTGTCGCACCGTACCGAGTGGTCAACTCTTTAACTTGTAATCATATGTGGAATAAAATGAATACGAGATGTTCTTTCATAAACGTCTCATGTATGTGCGTTAATGTGCAAGGTACACTAATTACCTGGTTTCAAACTAAGGAATTCCCTTAGAGTGCCAGGAAACGAAATTACCACCGGGTCTACCACACAGACAACCCAGACTTGAACCAATTTATAAAAATCTTTTCCAAATTCGTCCTATCGGAAATCGAAACAGGGACCTCATCATTTACCTCTCACATTGCGAACCAGTGAGTCACAGACGTCATCCGTGTTTAGTCCTGGCAAATTATACTTTTTTACGAAGTAGCAGTTCAAAAATGTCTACTAAATAATGCTTGACTTGATCATGATGAAAATTGGCCAATCCCGATAAAACTTTTATCGGATTCTTGTTACTTAAGTTGAAGTAAAAAAAATGTGCCTGAATCGAGTATCGAAGCGTATATTCGGAAGCGGCAAGCGGAAACAAAGCGGCCAGTTCTTGAGATACAAGGATGTTCTGAAAAGCCACATGAAAAGGTGCAACATTGATAGCTCGAGATGGGAGGTGCAGTCGAGTTGCCGTTCTGAGTAGAGGCACTTTGTGAAAACTCAGGTGACGACATTTGAGGAGCAGAGTCAGACCTGGACGCGAAACGTGATGCTCTCAAGGCTAAAACACCAGCACTTTTACTACTTTGCCGACGATATTCTTACGTGGAAAAAAAAGGTGTCGACACTGATTTCGAACATTTGCCAATAAGATTGGCTACTGTAGCAATCTAAGGGCACATGAAAGAGCAAACAACCGTAGCTCTAATTTTGAACAACACAGTCACTGTAGCCGAACCCGACTAGGATACACATAAACTGTTAAATTCGACATTCCTTCTATTTATTGAATTTGCTATTCGTTACTGTCGGCTGATCGAGCTCCAGGTATAGCGCCTGGAATCTAAACCCGACCACGCACCGCAGGGCGAGGCCGCACCCACTGTAGGTCGAGTACAGTGCTCGTAAAATATATAATTTCATCAAATGTCTCTGTTTTGTCTCGTTGTTCATTGCTAACTTTTTTTTCATAACACTTAGGGACAGGACCAACAAATCGTGCGCCTGGTGGTGGGCGATACGTCTGTCCATAACAGTTGCAGTGCCACTCAGAGCTTTAAATCACAAACAGCTAAGAGGCACTGCCACTGCACTCGACACCCTAAGACATAAATTGACAAGACCCATGTGCCTGTAATTTCACCAGCACCCTTATCCTTCTGTACCGTAACGCAGCAATGCTAACATTACTGCTTAGCGTCAGAAAATCTTTAAATAGATTAATGAAAACTAAGCGAAAAGAAAGAAATCTGCAAAATAACAACTTTTCCGAAGAAAGGTTCTAAGATTATTTCAAAAAAATTAGTTGATAACTTTTATGCTTAAATCGGAAAGATATAAAATTTCACATCATACATAATTTTGTTTCTGAAGTTTTTCATCATTTGTATGACTTCACGTGACAAAAGTGCTTTTGAGGTATTTTTTTACGTATGATCACATGTGGCTTTCTTAAAGGGTACGAATTGCGACATTTATTATATTTGCGATACTTTGATACCCGAAAAAGGCTAAATGAAATAGTCTTAATAAAATTAGAACTATAATTATACTTAAGTTATTGTAAAATACAATTGGTAACTCGATATATAACTAAGGAAGTAAATTAGAAATCACCAGAAAGCTTTTTAAATCACTTTTACTAATAGCACTTTTACTTTTGAGTCAGCTACAAACGAATGAAGTTCGGTGATGCTGTCTACCTCCATGGTAATTAAATGACAAGATAAAACTCCGTTTCCGTCCGCTCCGCAGTTTCCGCTCCTTAATTATACTTAAAGCCTGTGTAATTTCCTCCTATGGACTCACTATTGTGGTCATTCAATGATCTTCGATTAGCCATCTCACATTAACTTGTTTAGTTCGTCTGTTTCTCTCAATTTCCTTATTAATCATTTACATCGATTTAGAAATGTCAGAATTGTTTTCTTTTTTTATTAGCCAATTAAATAAATATTAATTATTTTTTTATGATACAAGTGGCGGGACGAACAAGTCGTACGCCTGGTGGTAAGCTACACACCTGTCCATAACAGTTGCAGTGCCACGAAGAGATTTAAATCTCAAAGATCTGAGGGGCACTGGCACTGCGCTCGTCACCCTGAGACATAAGTTGACAAATCCCATGTGCCTGTAATTTCACAAGCTCCCTTTCCCTTCTAAACTGGAACGCAGTAATGCTCACATTACTGCTTGGCGGCAGAAATAGGTAAAGTGGCAGTATTTCCCTGGACGAACGCTTTTACAAGGAGCTCTACTCCTACTAAATATTAATTAAAATTATATTTACAGTACAGTTACCGAGAGATATCTGTCTAGCGCAAGAGACGGCAGGGAAGATATTCGTTCGCTGAGAGAGGCCATGGTAGAGCGAACGAACCTGACCTTAAGTCTTGTTGCCCAGTGGGGTGACAACAATCTGGTCAGCTTCAACGCCACCAAAACGCAGGCCTGTCTTTTTTCCGCAAAAAGGAGTCCATTTGATCTGACTCCTACTTTTCGGGGTGTATCTGTCCCAGTTACCGACCGCCTAGAGCTTCTTGGCATGACATTAAGCGCAAACCTCAACTTTGGCGCTTCTATAGAGTCTAAAGCGCAAACTGCAGCCAAGAAGCTGGGTATCCTTAACAAGGTGAAGCGATACTTCTCGCCTGGACAGCTTTTAACCTTATATAAAGCGCAGATCCGGTCTTGCATGGAGTATTGCAGTCACCTGTGGGATGGCTCAGCGAAATACCAACTAGAGGCTCTTGACTCGATTGATCGCAGAGCCAGGAGGCTTATTGGCGACGATGAGCTCGAATATAAACTTCATAGTTTAGCCCATCGGCGAAAGGTCGCGGGTCTGTCGGTTTTTTACAGATTATACTTCGGAGAGTGTGCCCATGAGCTCCACCAGCTCATTCCATCCGCCCCTTTTTACCATCGGACATCTAGACGAACGGCGGGATATCACCCTCACCTGGTTGATATTCCTTTAAGTCGTACTAAGCGCTTTTCGTCATCTTTTATAATGCGCACAGCCCGTGACTGGAATTCCCTGCCTGCGTCTATTTTTCCGAGTACATACAACCCGAATATTTTCAAGGTGCGATTGAATAGGCATCTTCTGGGCGAGCTCGTACCAACGTAGACCTCTTCTTTGCTCTAGGGCTAGGTAGTGGTCAAGAGTTCGTCCATTTTTAATAAAAAAAAAAAAAAAAAAAAAAATATTAATTCACATAAACTTTCTGTAATTCATCTACATTATAGTAACTATAATTCCGGGACTCAGTAAAATATTAATCATCTACATCACTTTATAAATGTCAAAATTGTATCCTTTTTTTATTAGCCTATTAAATATATATTAATTTACTTGAACTTTCTGTAATTCGTGTTCATTAGTGTAACCATAATTCCGGGACTCAGTCAAATATTAATCAACTACATCACTTTATAAATGTCGAAATTGTTACTTTTTTTACCAGCTTATTAAATTATTAATACACTTGAACTTTCTGTAATTTGTGTAACAATAATTCAAAGTCAAAAATATTAAAATCGAAATTAATTTACAAGAATCTTTGCCTGAATTGATCTAACGGGGAATAGAACTCGGAGCCTCTTCTTACTTACTTTATCACCCACTTATCGCCCAGAGCGCTACCGCTGAGATACTGAGAGCAATTTCATGAAAAACGTAAAATACATAACAGTTTTTGTGACTCATGTCTCCGCCATTTTGCCTTTTACATTGTTTAAGTAAACGACAGGTGATAAATATTTTAAATTAAACCAATGTGCTATTTGCTGGATTTCGTAATTTACTCGTAATAAACCTTTTGGAAGGCTTTAGAATTAGCTTGTCTCAAAAATCATTCTTTTCCAATTCCAGACGCGGCAACATTCGCGCAATGGGGCGTGGACTACGTAAAACTGGACGGGTGCTACGCTTTGCCAGGAGACATGGATTATGGCTACCCGGAATTTGGACGTCAACTCAACTTGACGGGGAAACAGATGGTCTACTCTTGCAGTTGGCCTGTCTACCAAATCTATGCTGGCATACAGGTTTGTAAATGTTAACATATATATCTAAAGAACGTACGAACGTACCTTTTAGTCGCACTAAAGCTCCTTGTGAAAGAGTTTGTCCACGGAAGTATCGCGACCTTGCCTATTTCTGCCGCCAAACAGTAATGTCAGCATTACTGTGTTACGGTTTTGAATGGTAAGGGTGCTGGTGAAATTACAGGCACATGGGACTTATCAACTTATGTCTGAGGGTGACGGGCGCAGGGGCAGTGCCCGAAAGATCTTTGCGATTTAAAGCTCTGAGTGACACTGCAACTGTTATGAACAGGTGTGTAGCTTACTATCAGGCGCACGACTTGTTCGTCCCGTCACTTGATATTATGAAAGAAAAGTTAATATTTTTTTATGCCGACTGTATTTATGCGGTGTACATGAATCCTGAGTATACCTAATACATAATCGATTTCGTGTGGACATTTGCAAGATTTTTTTACATAATGAATTTCGATTAATTCCTATAATCAATCCTATTTCTATTATACGATGGACTTACTTATTAACTTCAATTAATTAGCAATATAGACACATTTGACGTCGTCTGTGGCCCAGCGGTTTGATTTTCCGAGTTCGATTCCTGGATCTATTTGGAAAACTTTCCTAAATTGGTTCTGGTCTTTTTTTTTCTGTGTAGTGCCCCAGAATGAAGTCTGTAGCTGTACATGAGTACACTATGAAGTGTTACAGTAAATTTTATTAGTTTGTGAACAGTTATAATTGGTGTAGTTATCTTTATCATTATTATTGCTTTATTTAATGTACTTTGTTTTGTACAGCCTTTAGATTAACTTGAGAAAAAATGTTATAATACAAGTATATTTTTTTAATTTGCAGATTCACGATATTGTGTATTTGATATCAATTTATTATCAGGCGCTTCATATTTATGCTGCGAACCTTGGATATACTTTTTAAATATATCTCCATAATTATGGGGTTTCCAAATGCACCCGAATAATTTCATAGTTGTTTTGTTTTGATTTCTATGTAAACTTTATAGAGAATAAAACTATTTTCCTTTTTTAGCATTTTCTGCAATATACCAAGCAAACTAACAAAAATATAACCAAAATTAAGAATAGTAGTGACTCTCTATATATACTTCCAAGTGGATTCAATTGCTCCGCTCTACACCAAGTACAAAGGGCAACATAAAAATCCAACAACAACCGAAGTATGGAAATTGCCGAAAGATATAGTTATACTGTATATGTATATGAAGTGTATATGTTTAACATCATTAAAAACTATATTATTAAACATTCTTTTAATACACGATATTAATTGCAGTTATACACATATGACAGATTATTGTATTTTAATTCCCATTTTTAACGTGCACGTTAATACAATTTGAATTCATTTGTATTAATGCGTTTCGAATAAACATTTTAATCTCTTCTTAATAGCTTATATGCATAATGTTATTCATTTTGAAATGAATCTGTAATATAATCTGTTTAGTTGAATCATCGAGTATATAACCAGAAATGGAGACGAAATGCCATTTAATTGGCTAGAAAACTATTCTGCCATATCATTACGATGACAACAGTGCTCCGATTGGCCAGCGCAAATTCGAAACTGTTGACGGGTGTCGTCAATTGTTTCATTTCAAATCGACCACTTTAACTTGAGCTTTGCTGTAATGGACGTAAATTGCAAAATTACGTATTTAATATTTAATTACCGATGAAATGTGATTTCGTCTGTTTTGTAAGTAGATGTTTTGTTGTTTTTCCCACACCATCAAATGAAACAGCCCCCCCATAGATTAGAGATATTATCTTTATTACAATAAATGCAGAATATTTTTGGAATATACGGAGATGTACACACAGGTCAGTTGTTGGCGCTGTACTATTTCAGTTTTGTAATTTGTGATTTCAGTGCAAACGAGAGTTGATATTTAAAAGTGATACAATGCCTATTTACCTGATGAGCTGCCAGGGATGTATGGCCCTTATTTCGTCTCTATTTCTGGTTATGGTTACTCGATGAGTTACAATACACACAATACACCAATTATCTGATCTCAAAATAGAGAATTCCCTGTACTGTGAATGCTAGAGCGACGGAATTCACTAAGGTGCACTGCCCGAAACTCCTAGACCAGGCTAGGAGGCGTTCTCCTTACGTCCGTTCGAAACAATTACTGTTAAATAAGTAATACTCAACCAAATTTTAAGAAAA